CTCCTCAGTGCATCTTCAGTCATCTAAGAATTTTTGTTTGTAAATAGCAAAATGTTTCTTGTTTTAAGGTTATATCTGTACATGGCATCTTAATTTTTTTCTAATCATGATGGATTTATATCAATGATGTAATTATATATTGAGAATGCAAATATATAACCTATACAAGAGAATTCTTAGTAGCCATAGGAAATAGTGTTTCCTCTCTACAATCCAAGGACATCTGACACTTCCTGGTCTTTCAGACTTGTTTGGGAAATCCCAGTCTTGAAAAAAACCCAGAGAAGGAACATGTCAGGTAGAAATTAAAATATGCCAGGTCTTTCATGTGATCACAAAACTGGCAAAAATTCAGAGGAGAAAAGGGGTAAGACTGCAAATATTTGAAATAAAACTTTGAGTAGATTCAGTACATTGCATTGAATTCAATCCTTGTGAATCAGTTTGGAATTCAATAGATTTCTGCATATTACTCACAAATCTATATGGGGCTGCCCTTCCACTGGCGCAGAATGTAGTATGGTTAGTAAATGGTGTCAGATAGTTGATACATGTAACATCAATGCTATGTGAGCTGGATGCATTTCAGGTACTGGTTGTCACCTTTAAAGCCTTCCATGGCTTGGGACCAGGCTACCTAAAGGATCCTCTTTTCTCAGTCATTTCTTACCCATCCAATTTGGTCTGGCAGGTTGGACATGTTACGAGTCCCATCAGCCAAAGAATGTCAATTGGCAGATTCAAGGAGTCATGCTTTCTCTTGCTTAAACCTTGCCTCTGGAATATTTTCTCTAGAGAAACTGAGATGACCTCCCCCCACTTTTTTGTAAGACTGTGAAGATCTGGTTATGTGCCCCACATCTTATTGGATGGAGGCATTCAAAGTCCATAAGATCAAAGCAGGTCATTACTGAACACAATAACACAAATGGTAAGCCAGTCAAATATAACTCATTATGGTGGCTTGTTTTTGCTGCCTGTCTTTATTGAAACTTTAAATGAAGCAATACTGGAGAGAAACAGAGAGATCACCACACCTGTTGGGAAACTTTCCATCCAAGAAGATGGATGTGTTCCTCTCAGGCGTCTGGCAGATCAGGTACTAGAGAATAACACTAATTACCCTTGACAGATGTATTTAAGTGAAAGAAAAGGCTAAAGGTTAGGGAAGGTAGAAAGTCCTTAAAGCACTTCTATTTATAAACCTTCTACACTGTTCACCCACTCAAAATTTCTCCCATGGAGTGAATCTCAGGAAATGACTTCAGCTGTAATTTAAAACTGTAGGTGGTGGGAGTGTTTTTTTTTTCTTTTTGGCTCCTTGGGCTCCAGAGTCTCTTCAGGCCATAAAGGACTGACTCATTTCACTGTTTTTACATATGGAAACTGTTTTAATTTGTGAAATCAAATCATAACATAGAATAAGTTCTGGTTCCTGAAAGATAAAGACTATTAGAGGAAGATAGGTGTGTGTGTGTGTGTGTGTGTGTGTGTGTGTGTGTGTGTGTGTGTGTGATATAAAAATCATGGTTAAACTAAAAAGTATTTTTATAAAGTTCTGGAAACCTTTATGGCAGTAGTGAGATTCAAACTTTTTTTACTACTGGTTCTGTGGGCGTGTCTTGGTGGGCGTGGCAGGGGAAGGATATTGTAAAATCTCCAGTCAGAGGTGATATTTGCTGGTTCTCTGAACTACTCAAAATTTCCACTACCGGGTCTCCAGAACTGGTCAGAACCTGCTGAATACCACCTCTGCTTTATGGCTACATGGACAGAAATAACAACAATTTTGGGGTTTATGATTGGATAAATTCAGTGTTATGGGAAGAAGTAAATTGTGTTTAACTGCATAAGAGATGGGAAAGTATTAATTTGCCTGTACTTATTGCAAGGAAGACCAAGAGTCACTTCTTAAAATATTCTTTTTCTATTTTTTCTAATGTTCTAACATTTGAAGAGAGTATGGATTTATCCCCAGATCACCCAAAGGTAGCATAAGAATGAATGATTGGAAACTTTACAAAAAGGAGATCCAAATTTTAAATAATTGTATGTGCTCCTAAGCAGAGGAACAGTATACCTTCTGGAGTCATGTCTGTATTATAGTTTTACAAAAAAAAAAAAAAAATTGGGATGGCATGCAAATTTCTGTCTTGAACAAGAGGTTGAACTAGAAGATCTTCAGAATCTCTTTCAAGCCTATAAATCTATAAACCAGTATATCTGGTTGACCTATTATTTCCAATTCTATTTGCAGTTTGTAGATCCAGTTATATAATTTGATTCTGGCTCTTTTGCAAACAAATCTTATAGAAGGAAAGAGATTTAGACAGATTTTCCAGGTTCTGAATTGTGTACAGCCAGGGCTGCGATTCAACCAGTATAACAACTGGTTCAATGAGCATGCACTTCACGCTCACACATGCCAAATGTGCACTCTGCATGTGTGCTCAGCATTTTAAAAAGCTATTACTTACCTTCAACTGCAGCTGAAGAAAACAGCTGAGGCATGGCAAACCGCTCTGCCGCCTGAATCAGCTGTGCTCTAACAAAAAGACATAAAGCACAGGAAATAGCAGGGGTGGGCAGGGAGGCCCACTTGCTCATTGGACCGAACCAGTTCGGAGCCAGCTGATCATTGGAACAAGGGGTTCGCCTGAACCAGTCTGAACTGGGAGAACCCCCACCCCTGTATACAGCCTAATATAACAACTAAAACTATAAAGAGTATAGTTAATTGTGTTGCAACTTGCCACAGGAAAATTGGTTTTTGAAGGGTGACTCACAGTTTTTAAAAAAATAGCATAAATATGCTGTCTGGTTTACAGAATATAGTACATTCTATATTCCAAATTGTATCTTCTTAGATCCCCGTGACACAAACATTGTTTTCCTTTATTGCCACTTTAGCACTTAACAAAGTCAGTAACAAGACTAAAAATCAATCCAATTGTATAACTCAATCAGAAAATTGCAGAGTTGAAATGATCATCTAGAATGATGAAATCAAGGACTTCCAGAGGAAGAAATGTCAGACTAAAGATGGCTTTGTGAAAAGTAGAATTGATGACTGCAGTGAAGAAGAAATAGCCGATGAATTAACCAGCTCTTTGGAATCTCTCTTAAGAAAAGATGGGAAGTCATCAACATGTGCTCCAAACAGTTGCTCCTATGAGGTCATCACATGTCAGGAGTCCCTGGTGGCTTTGGGCACTGAGAGTCATCTTGCTCAGAACCACAGTCAATGCTTTTTAAAGGACATTAAGTTTGCAAACTTCTTTTCCTAAACGTATTTGTAAATTGTTTGTTAACTTCTATTAAGCTATTTGGAAGCCTTTAGTCTGAAGACACTGGGTGAGTTTTCCTTCAATCCTTCCTGAAAAACACATTAATCATAAGCTTAAGAACTTAAAAAGTTTGAAATAACTAGCAAAAAGCTAAATAAAACTATGATAATAGAAAGTTATAAATGGATTAAGTCTCCAGATGAATTTATAATAAGATTTTGGAATTAATTATAAAGAATCCTTCCGATAGGAGGTAGATTTGGCTGGACTTTTACAAGACAAAAAAAGTTTAGCAGTTTTGAAAACTGGACACTAGACAGAACCAAAGAAGTTAGTTAAAGGAAAAACATACACAAGACTGATTAACCATTACTTAACTGGGATGTATAAAACATTTTAACATTGAAAATATTGAAAGACACTTTGGAAAAATAAAATTAGAAGTTAATACCAACAGTTTCAATAAAGATATTTGTGTCTATGGATGTGTTCAAATTATGTTTTGGAAAAAAGTGGCAAATGAGGAACAAATTCCATTTGACATGGCAAAGATGTCATGGAAAATAGATCTAAACATTACAGCTTATGAGAATGGCAATGGAAAAGGTGTCACACTAGATCAGGGATGTCAAACTCGCGGCCCACAGCCCAGATGTGTCCTGTGCTAGCAATGGTCATCATTTTAGAGAAGGGGAAAGTTGTGATACGTCACGTGATAACGTTGTGACAATGTGAGTTTGCACTAGATATACAAAAGAAACTAGTTGATGTTTTAAAAGTCAAAATGCAAATGCAAATAAGAAACCAAGAGAGTGACCTGCATAATTCTTTTACGCTAAATTTACAAAATATGCTTGATAAAGCTTTGAAGAATCTTGTGAGAAGGAACTAAGAAGAAATGATATCAAATTCCAGCAACATTATTTGAATGAACTAGCAATTAAAACTGTTAGGAAGAAATACTGTATATAATTAGTTTATTTGATCAAAGTTAAAATATGGTGTTATTTCTGGTAACCCTTAATGAACTTTCTGCTGACACTGGGACTAAAAAGATTATGTTTTATGGATTTGGCTCTAGATAAGAGGTGGGATATGGATGAGGAGTTATTGATGTAAATAAAGGTAGGCAAAGACTTATTAACATGTTTATACTTGTGTTGAAGGTTTTTCTTTCTTTTCTCTCTCTTCTCATATTCTTTTCTTTTTTCTTTCTATTTTGTACATTCTTTTTTCTTCTCTTTTGCATCTTTCACTCTTTTGCATTTTTCTTTCCTTTAGTTTGTATTAGATTTTATTATTGTAGTTAATTATGTCTATAACTTAATAAAACTTATAAAATTAATGATGACAAAATGTATCTTTTTACAACTGTACAAGAACTGCATTACATTTTTTCATTCAAGGTTGTCACAATGTTGTTCAGGAGGAAGAAATTGAACTAGCAATGATTATATATAATGTATCTCCAAAATCTGAACTATATTGGCTTACTGTGGTTAGTAATGATATCAAAATTTGAGGACAATTAATTACTATGACTCTACAAACTAAAGAAAACAAATGGTCTCCATGTCTTTAAAGTCCTATAACCTGCTATATTCTTCCCTCTTTCTCTTCCTGATGTGAGAAACATGAAGGGGACTTATGGCATTTGAAATTATGCTTCAAAGCCAGTAATAAAGATAAACCCAACAATCACACTCAAATGCTTAATCAAATATTTATTTATGAAAACATAACACAATAAACATTATATGTGTCTTCAAATCGTTGATTCCATAATGATCGGATAAAATCATTAGCATTTCAAAAGATGGTTAAATGTTTTTTAAAAAATAGTTTTTCAAAAGCACATCAATAGCTAAATTCATTCAGAACTCAGGGATCGTAATCAGCATCAAATGCTTTTGCCTTCAGTTTTGACTTTAAAATATCTGTATGAGGATGATGATTCTACATGGCTTAAATCAGATTCATTGTAGTGAATGCAGAACATTTTAGTATACCCAGTTAATACATTTATTAAGCCACATGGGGATGGTTGCAAAACAGTGGAGGGTCTGCAGACTACCCAACTGACATCCTGCAGTTATCATGGAAATACTCAGACTGTTAATTTGCACAATAAAACACACAAAACAAAAATATTTTTAAATTTATTCTTATTGCACTTTGATGCTTGGGCTTTTTCTGTTTTTCAGATGTAACTGAGTTTAATTCACTCAATTCTTGTGATTTGGTTTAAAGTAAAAGATTTAATTCTGCCTGCTGCTCAGAGTTTTTTCGAGGTTGTCCCATTCTTCAATATATTGACATTTAAAGCATTCTAACATTTGGTATCAGTGGAGTTTTTAAGTGTATTGTAGCCTGAGACTTTGTAAAATTGTAAAAGCTCCAAGGAGAGGGCAATCATTGGAGATCCCTATACAACCATATTGTTATTGTATTATAGGTGTAATCGTTGCTGTGAATGCCACTATCAATGGTTCAAAAAAAGAAATATATATTGTAAAACCCTAAAAGTGCAACTAATTTGGGATTGAATTTTAATTTATCTATTTTACTGCCTTGAATTAAAAGATCAATGGTTTAGATGGGGTCCTCTCCTTATGTGAAGCCCAGAGCCATTTCTTTTATTGTCTTCTCTTCTCCCAGATGAAGGTCCAGGGTGCACAAGACTTAGGGTGGGGTGATGAAAATCCCTGTCCAGTCCTGAAATGTATTTAGACCACTAGCCATTATTGCTCAGCCTAAAGACATCAGAATAAGGTTGTCAAAAGAACAAGAAAAAAAAGGATAATCATTCTAATGCTTCCTCCCTGAGCTCTCCAGAGAGAATACAGTATGCTTAATTTTGGGTTAGACTAATGGGGGGGAAATCCTTCCATGCCCCCTTATTAAATAACCCAGTATTTTATGAAAACACATTGCCATTAGGATCTATAGAATTTCTGCCTTTTATAGGAAGACAACCAAATCACATGCAAAATTTCTGAATATCATTTCAAAACACAGTTGGTTATGTTTATAAGATTAAGAAGTTTATGGTTCAATTTGAATAAAGCTGTTTAACTCTTTAAACCAATATATCAGATGCAGAAGGGTATAATTGGATAAGTTGTGATGACACTGAAATTATCTGAGAAATTATCAAAATGAGTATATGTTTGCTGATTCCAGTCATGATCTGTCTTCAATCATTAAGGCATAATTGGTTTTCACTGATCTTCAGAGCTGCCCCAAATGATATTATTCAGCTGCTTGGTCTGAGGAGGATACTTTAGAAGAAATGTTTTCTGACTGAAGCAGGAATGTTGTGTAAGCCATTTCAGCTTCCTCTTTAGAGCCCTAAAACAAATAGAAATCCCAGCATTATTTTAATGGAGCCTGAGGATAATATGATGAGGTATTTAACCAAATTTGCCACCTGCATTTTAAAACAGTCATCCCCAAATTGGATATTCTACAGGTATGTAATCTCAGCTCCCCAAATTTTCCAGTTATAAATTTCTGGTCCAAATTTGCCTTAAATACTAATAAATGTATTACAACATAAACTTTAATACTACAATTTCATGCTAGTATTCATTATACTTCATCCCGTATGCAATTAATCCCTACAATATTAGGAATCTAGACTGCATGAGATCATTGGTTTATTTAATCCATTATTGACATTAATGAGAAACAACTTTCAAAGTTTCAAATCCAATTCCCCCCCCCCCCAACCAGCAAGAAAAAAGAACCGAACCCTGAACTGTTGCAGGATTCTAAGCTATGTATCTTCCAGTCTACAATACAGGTACAATATTTCAAACAATATGGCTTACAAAAGATTTGAGGGAACATTTTAGAATATCAAATAAATAAGCTGTTAACTTAAAATTATTAATGTCAAATTACATATGAAAAGAAAATAACATGACAATCTTTTTTAAATGGTCCTACATCCATTGCCTTTTTTACGCTGCTCAGAGTCCCTTCTGGATGAGTAGTTATGTAAATTTGATTAATAAATAACTAAATCCAACTTCCAAAACCATTACTATGATGTGATAGAATAGTACTATGAAACAAGAAAACGTTTATTTCCCTCAAAATGGAATGGAAAGATAGCCAACTTTACTCCAAAGTACAGAAAATTCTGCAGTTAGGGACAATCATGAGAAAGCTTGTGCTTGACAAAGTATTGCTAAAAGAGACTAAGATATGAAATACAGTGATAGAGAAAAGTCCCTGCATACCATCTTAAACTCTAAAAGTAAATAAATATACATATAAATAATATTAGCCCATTATAGCCCTCTCAAAAAAAAAAAAAAAACAATTTGCCCTTACCCTCTTTGGTTTCTTTGATTTTCCATCCTCCTTGGGACTGCCAGAAGTGCATGAATATTCTGAAAAGAATACAAGATAAGATTAATGTGAAAAAAGATAACTTCATGTATCCATCAATTCTATAATTGGCAAAATAATGTAGCTTCATTGCTGAAGAAGTGACAATTGTATTTGGCTGATAAGCATCAAGCCATAATTAGAATACATTTTGAATAGCATTACCATCCTTCTTTCCCATTTGGGTCTCATGAAACTCTTCCAGGTGTGCATTGTCCTTTGCCCCATACTGTCTCACATTCTCAAACTCTGTCATGCTGATATTTGTCCTGTAGCTTCCAACTGATACAAGATCTATAAAAAGGAAAAGAACATTTCACTACAGTTCGTTCCATCTTAGATTCTATGTACATATTGTATTAATTCTAGGAGAGAAAAGCTGATGTAGATTGTAGACTTATTGCTGAAATCTTATTGTGTAAAGCAGAAGTATTGTTTGAAGGGGCTACCCCAGATCCAGCTTGGATCAGAAAATCACACAATATGGTACTTGCATTGTTCTATTAATTATTGGGCCATAATCCACAGGTGTGATAGATAAGGTTTTAGGACTAAATCTAAGCTCTTCATTCCCCTAATATTGCACTAAAGAAACCTATAAATGGTGACAGCCCTAAAACAGATAACTTTAATTCATTCCTTCTGGATTTTTTAAAATTATTCAGCCACAGTACATTTATAATCCAGACAGTAAAGTTCCTAATTTTTATCTTGTAATTTTATTTCTATATGTAAAAATTTTCTTTATTCTATTTGATGCGCAAAAAATGCTAAAGCTATCAGTATACAAATTAAAATGGTTTCCAAGGAGGTTATATGTAGTATAGGCTCACCAGAATTTCCAAATATTCTGAACTTCTTTATGGTAAAGACAGTGATGAGAAGTAGAAACACAATTCCAAAAGGTATCAAAGTGGCAAGAAGAACAACAGAGTTCTTATTTTCATCATGGCTGGAAAAGGAGAAGAATTGGCATAGCAAATATACAGTATTAGTACAGTCTTAATAATATTTTTCAGAAAGACAGTGAAGAAGTTCCAGAACTTAATGCTGTAGGAAAGAACATGATTCCATCAAGGCTCTCTTATTTTAATATTTCCATCTTGGCTATAATGAAGAGATGGGAAACATTAGCTTTTAATTTCTGATTGATTGTAGTTTTCTGTGTTTGCAGAAAAAAGTCTACAATATCCACATATGGCCACAGTGATGTACAGAAAAGAACATATTGTATAGACCTGGGGAAGGCACTAATCTCAGTAGTAGTCAAATATACAAGGGAATTCTGGGTGTATATGGGCCATCTGCCTGTAGAATATCCTGTTGAGCAAGCTTAACCATCATGATACAAACTTGGTAGGGATGGGCTTCAATTTTTTTAGCAAGGGGCTCTTTGCCCTAATGACTGGCTGGCTGGGCGTTGCTGGGCGGTCCTGTGGTTGGTTGGACATGGCTAGGTGGTCATGTGACTGGCTGGATGTGGCCAACGATGTCACTTCTTTGCCCTAATTACCTAAAAAAAAAAGATAATATACCAAAAAGTGGTTTATTATTTCGTGCATTTAATAGTTAAATAAAAGACTGGGTGAAACCAGCCAGGCTTAATAGCAGTGACTGTGAGAGGGATCTTGGCGTCCTAGTGGAGTTTCTGGTGAATTACATGCAGGGGTAGGATTCCAATTTTGTAACAACTGGTTCTGCGGGCATGGCTAGGTGGGTGTGGCTAGGTAAGCATGGCCATGGGACTGGTTGGGCATGGCTTCTTTTTTTTGCAGCAACCCCCCCCCCCATCTTTTGGGGCCTTCTGGGCCTCAGGGAAGCCTCCTAGGGGGGATTTTTGCTCCCAGAAGGCTTCCCTGGGACTCAGGAAGGAAAAAAAATGGATCATGGGGTGGGGGGGGCTCACAGCAACCCTCTACACTCCATTTTGGGGCCTCCTGGGCCTCAGGGAAGCCTCCTGGGGGGCATTTTTGCTCCCAGGAACTGGTACAATCCCACCCCTGTTTACATGATTCTTATTATTTGGAAATTAATCCCCTCAGAGGCTAGAGGTTATGTTATCTGATTTTCTCAATGGCACTCCCTCCGGCAAGCGCTTTATCTAACTTGACACTTTTATGAGGTGTGAAATGCTCTTGGCTAAAGGCCAAGAAAGGAAAAAAAAACCTTGAAAAGGTGTCGATTTATTATTCTAGTTTTTCTGGGGTTATTGGGGGCTCTCCAAGTCCTGCAGAGTCTTAGCTAGGGGCTCTCCTGACCCCCTGCGAGCCCCCAGCAGCCCACCCCTGAAACTTCGATTGATTTTAAAAATCTGATTAAGACTGAGATTGCCTGAAACTTGTTATATTTCTCTTATAGAAATAAGATGAATTCCTGAGCTGTGTTTCTGTGCAATTGCACAGAACTTAAAACACACCAACCTGCCACTCCTTGCATCATCTCTGGCTCTCCAGAATTGCAAATTAATTTTGCTATTGTTTAATATTATTTAAACCAATAATTATATGCGGATGCTGTTCCCCTTAAATACTTTTGCTTCTCTGTATACATGCATTCATAAATCATTAATTATTTTCAAAGTTGTTTACCTGCCTGCTGAAGTTTCACTTTCAGCTGCCTGATTAGCTTTGTCTAAGGGAGAATTCCTATTGACAGGATTTATTCCAGGAATGGCAATCTTACTGAGATCTTCATTGATTCTGGATGCTTCTTCCAAATTTAGAAGTACTATTTAGAAGTATTTGGGGAGTTGGTAACCCAGAAGCAAAGAGAACATAGAAGGCAAGAAAAAAAAATCAGCAAAAAAGATCATACTTAAGTTATACTCTTCTACATAAGTCAGCTAATGAAGACAATTATACCATAGACAAGTATACATATTCAATCAATGATGAAATATTCTTGGTTAATTTTTTAATCACAATTTCCTATTTGCTTTTTTTCCCCTTTGGGTATACTTCTTGCAAAAACCTAATGCATCCTACTAACTTTACTAAAGGACCCATAAGGAAAACTGTCTTATCCTGTAATATGGAAAGTAATTTCTAGTGAATGTTCAGGAACCCAAACCTTTTGTAAGGAGAACCTAAACATATATGTTAGACATTAAGTTGATTTCATATGACTAAAATAGTAATAAATTACTGTGTCTACTTAAAGACTAAGGAAACACATGGTATATATTTTCATGGGTGAGAGACCACTTCATTATATGCATCTGAATGAATGGCAAACTGAGAAATCTTATATTAAATGGTGTGTTAATATTTTACATGCAGGCAGAAATAAGAGGCTGATAGTCATGAACTAGATAAATACATTCTTCTCAATAAATTCACTCACAAAGAGCAACAACAACCATAAGAGACCATCGTATATGAACTGTGCTTAAATACCTCAATCCACTTCTTACTTTGCTATTGAGCCCCTGCCTATGTTAGCTTGTTCATGCAAACAAGCTAACTTCACTACTGACATGGGCTGCCTCTTGCCCACACCCTCTTATTTTTCTTGGTGACCTCAACTTACCTCTTATAAATTGGACACTAAATGAATGTACATCTGTATAACCCATTCATACAACCCTGTACAATGCCATTACCACACTGGGACTGGATCAATTAGTATATAACAACACTAGACTCAACAACTGCCTTGACCTCATCTTCTGCAACAGCTCAAACTCAATTTATGGCCTACAAATACAGGAACCATTTTCAAACAGTGACCATAGCATGATTAACTTTTGTCTAAATTTACACCCTCTCAAATAGGATCATAACCAGAGGTGGTATTCAGCAGGTTCTGGCCAGTTCTGGAGAACCAGTAGCAGAAATTTTGAGTAGTTTGGAATACCACATCTGACTGGCCCCGCCCCATCTATTCTCTGCCTCCCAAGTCCCAGCTGATTGGCTAGGTCTTCTTTTGTTGCCCTGCACAGGAGAACAGAGCTGGAAAGCAAGTTAGTTAGGTGGGGAGGGAATGGGATTTTGCAGTATCCTTCCCCTGTAGTGGGGTGCAAGTGGAGATTTTACAGTATCCTTCCCCTGCCACGTCCACCAAGCCATGCCCACCAAGTCATGCCCACCAAGCCAAGCCACACCCACAGAACCGGTAGTAAAAAAAATTTGAATCCCACCACACCAACTGGTTTAAAAAAACCAGTTATGAACTCATAGCTGCCGACTTATCATCTCTTGATTGGCACATTCTGTTCTCTGGCTGTAACACTACAGAAGAACATTATAAGACCTTCTTGTTTGAACTTGAAAGAGCCATTAAACTATATGTTCCATTAGTAACCCCCAAACACAGAAACAAAAATTTACCCCAAATAATAAGAAAACTTCAAACTTAAAAAAAAAATCCTTCTGGCGTAAAAACAAAACCAAATATGTAGCTAACTTTAAAAAACAATACCTTATGCCAACAGATAAAGGCAGAATGTATTAAGCAAGAGGAAAATCTACGCATGAAATCCACCCATGCCTTCTATAACTTTGTAAACACCAAACTTAAAGACTTAAAGATTCAAAAACCATCCCACCCCTAAAAGGTCCTAATGGGAAAGACTATAACGATGAAGCCATGAAGGCAAACTTCTTCAACACGTTCTTCAGTTCAGTATTTCTAAACAGTAATGGCTCATACCCCACATTTCCTAATCATACGACAACTAACTGCAACGATTTACAAATTGACTTTATTGAAGATAATGTAGAAAATGCACTACGCCACCTAAAACCATCCTTATCTATTGGCCCTGATGGCTTATGTGCATTCTTCTTAAAAAAAGCTCCCCACTACCATAGCAGAACCCTTAAGCATAATATATGAGATATCATTCAGAATCAGCTCCTTACTTTTATGGTCTTTAGCAACGGTCATCCCTATTTTCAAAAAAGGTGACCCCTGTCTGGTTGAAAACTACAGACCAATCTCATTGTGTTGTGTCACTTGCAAAGTTATGGAATCAATTATTAATCAATGCATTACCTTCCATCTAGAGTCAAACAACTTACTCTCCAATAAACAATTTGGTTTTAGAAAAAAATTGTCCTGCAATTTGCAACTTCTACACTGCAAAAACATATGGACCACACTACTTGACCAGGGTAAAGCAATAGATGTAATTTACATTGACTTCTGCAAAGCCTTTGACTCAGTGGTACATGACAAACTACTATTAAAATTAAATTCTTACGGCATTTCCAGATCCCTTCACAAGTGGATTACTGCATTCCTGTCAAACAGGCAATAAATAGTAAAAGTAGGAAATGCCCTATCAAACCCTGCAACAGTTATCAGCGGTGTCCCCCAAGGGAGCGTTCTAGGACCCAAACTCTTTACACTCTTTATAAATGACTTTGGGATCACCTTATTAGCAACTGTGTCCTCTTCGCTGATGATGTAAAGCTATTCAACACCACCGTCAATGCTACCGTCCTTCAAAAAGACCTTGATTATGTGTGTGAATGGTCTAACAGTTGGCAACTCCAAATCTCGACCAACAAATGCTCTGTCCTACACATTGGTAAAAAAAAATCTATATACCAAATACAAGCTAGGTGGATATGACCTTGTTGATGACCCTCACTCTGTCAAGGACCTTGGAGTTCTCATATCGAATGACCTAAGTGCCAAAGCTCACTGCAACAGTATTGCCAAAAAGGCTTTAAGAGTTATAAATTTAATTTTATAAAGCTTCTCCTCTGGTAATACTGATTTGCAAACTAGGGCATTCAAAACCTTTGCTAGACCAATACTTGAATTCAGCTCTGCTGTCTGGAATCTGCACTGTATATCGGACATAAATACAATTGAGCGAGTCCAGAAGTATTTTACCAGAAGAGTACTACATTCATCTGTTCATAACAGAATACCCTACACCACCAGACTTGAGCTTCTAGGCTTAGACAATCTTGTACTACACCAGCTAAGATTGGACTTAAGCATAGTACATAAAATCATAAAATCAAATCAAACGTCTTACCAATTAGTGAATATTTCAGCTTTAACCATAACAACACAAGAGCAAACAACAGATATAAAGTTAATGTAAACCACTCCAAACTTGATTGCAGGAAGTACAATTTCAGCAACAGAGTGGTCAATGTCATGAATTCACTACCTGATTCTGTTGTCACCTGCTCAAACCCTCATTCCTTTACCCTCAAACTAAACTCTATTGACCTCATCCCATTCCTAAGAGATCTGTAAGGGGTGTGCATAAGCGCACAATCGTGCCTACCATCCTTGTCCTATTGTCCCCAATTATTAGTTCCTATTTCTTACATTTAAACTTACGTTTATTCTTATTTCTATTGTATTATAAGGTTTTGACAAAATAAATAAATAAAAATAAATAGATCCAACCCTTGTTCCATTATTTTAGGGGCACACCTCACTGATCTAATGGCTTTTGCTGACACATACAAACATATCTAGCTCTTGATAAATCATTTTCTATAATAACTCCCTATATTTCAGTATAAGACAAACAAGGAATTTTTGATGCAAAAACATAACTATACTTGAAATATCCAGTATTTTTCTTATAACCACACAGAATGTCAAATTCAGACACTAATCGTAGTCATAAGTTGTAGTAAGCATTTTTGTAAAACTTTATGCTAATTCAATAATTGTCTTGGGAATCATCAAGTATTGTAGTGTCATAAGATGACTAAGGTTTAGCAGACGATCAATTTTAAACCAGCCTGGTTAGATGGCAGCACCAGATAACTTTGGTCAATTAAGTAGACTTGGCCTTGGTTAATACTTAGATGGACACCACCATGAAATACCAGGGCTACAGCTAGATTGGGAAGATGAGAAAATCATCCTCAAAGAAGTAACAGTTCTATGCTGGTGAAAGAAATAACTTCCAATACTTTGACATGTCTTGGATTAAGTGCAGCTGAAAATTGGAAATATAGGGAAATTTGGTTCCCTATTAATTAGACCCACCTCCTTGTACTTGCAGATGCAATGCAACTGTTTCTCCATATTGCTGTCCATGTTTGACACCACACCAATACCATCCTTGGTCTATGGGTGTCACCTGGTCAAAGTTCAAAGATAAAGTTCTACTATCTTTGTCACAGTTAACTACCAAGCCGGTCTGGTTTTGTTCAGATGAGATGAGAGGTTTACATTCAGTGTTCTTCCATTTGCACCAATATTTCTGTTTTGTAAAATATTTGCATGGATAAGAGCATGATATAGTCAGAGAGGAGCCAGCAACAGCGCGAACTTGTTTCTTTGTTAGTAATGAAGGTTGCCCTGTGTCAGGAGAAAGGGAAAAAAGTGTAATAACGCCTATCTGGTCTACATAATACAGCTTATTTCCCCACTAAATCTACATAGCTATAATGCAAGCAGAAATCTAGCCAGCCTTTCCTTGGCACATAATCAAATGGGTAACTATCACACTTGAATTAGGCAATTAACTAATTTTAGAGAGATAGTTCCCATGAATCTTTCATATGAAAACATTCATTATTAATGTGGACAACCACATACACACATTGCATTGTGATATAGTAGTTAAAGTGTTGTGAAATCTTGATTTAAATCTCCAGTTAGCCAGTTAAATATCTTCTTGAAAAAGTTTTTTTTCCAAACAAAGATGTTACACAAGAAGATATGCAACAATTTATATGATGAAAATAAATTATTCAGGAATGATATTTTGAATAAAAATTTGTCACCAGATATGAAGAGGAAACAGAATGAGGTTTTAAAAATTAAAAAGGAAATAAAAATGATCATCCTAGAAAAAAACTGGAATAATTTCCGTTTGCTGCATTTATAAATGAGACTATTTAAAATAGTAAGAAATTTGTAATAAAAATCAAAAATCATCTGAATGGATTAGAAAGACTGTTGTTTATAGAAGGAAGAAGGACTATTAAGTCAGTTAATTTTGTCAGAGATAAAATAGAATATGTTGTTATTTTGGATGGTTCCTTTTGGATTTACTGATATCGTAATTAGAAAATGTGCTTACATTTGACATGATGTAGAAGTCTTTTTCCTTTATGTACTTCTTTTTGAAGTAATTTTATTAAGACTTTTGGAAAGAACAATAAAAGATAATATGAAGTCAAAGAAAAAGCTGCAAATTTCTGAAATGTGGATGTGCTAATGTGTTAGAGTAGACACATAAAATATATATTTGAACAGAATAAGTTGGTATTTGGAAAGTTGTATATTGGAGGTTGCTTTTTGGAGAAATGATCTTTCTTTATCACATTAAATTGGAATAGTTTTTTAGTTTGTTTATATTAAGATATTGGGACCACTTTATGTCTTTAAAATAGGATTTATTCATGCCTAAGAGTTGAGATGTGTATTGTGGAGTATTATATAAGTTAATTAAAGCTTTGCTTGGATCTTTTGCTGATAATTGGATTGAAAAATAACTACATATTTGATTTGCTTATTGTTAAGTTATGGGTTATGAGATGAAAAGTTTTACATGTGTTAGCTAAATGGAAGTGAAGATTGTGGAATTGTTTATACTTGCCATGATGAGGGTGGGAGGTACTTTCGGGGGGGGAGTAGTGGGGCTCCATTTATACTTTTTTAAATTTAAAAATAAATAAAAATGGGGAAAATATTTGAGTTATGGTTGCATCCTGATCAAACATGTAGAAATTTAAAGATGAAAATTATTCAGCTGACACTGAGATGTATTGTCTATCCTTCTTCTAACTAAAGTAATAGCTTAGAAATTTATTTATGGACATCTATAATTTCAAAATTCTGTAAATTCTGTACCTGGTGGACAAATTGTGATATAGATATAAAGACTGCTGTCTGTTAGTACCCACTATTTCAACAGCAAATTAAATTTCTGTTTCTATATACCTTTCCTACCAAAATAAATCAGAATTTAAAAGTACAGCAAGCTAGATAAATTATTTATATATGTGTGTGTGTGTTTGATTAAATAAATTTATATTTATTTTTAATTTATTACAAAAATCTTGAAATGCTTTTAACTCAACAGTTTTAAACTAATAAAAATCATGAACAGTGGGAAATGATACTTTCAAAGCAAAGAGCAGCTAGTAGAATTTTTTGCTTGGATATCAGCGAGGGAGACAAGAGTTACTTCCCCTTCTTATTTAACTTCCTAGTTAACATATCCATATTATTTCTATTATTCTATTCTATATTATTTATTCTGACTTTCCATCTGGGCTTGGAACAGCACTCCCCAAAGATTCAGGTGGGCCAAGCCAGCCTGCCTTTCAAAAGGACTTAAGGACATGTTCTTCTGCAAGCCCATTTTAATTGTCTGAATATGTGAACTGTCTTTGGTTCAATAAGTTTTAATTTGCTGAGTTTTAAAAAAAAATTATTTAGCTACCTGAGCAGGTGGTCTATATGCTGAATATTAATCATGTGGAATAGCATTTTTCTGTAAATATATCTTATTTAAAACCAAGAGAATGGTTGGGACGGCTTAGGTTCATTTTTCCAGGACTCATTAAATAGGCAAAAGACGTTTCTGAGATACATTACATCAAGCAGTACCTTCTACAATCTTCACCTCTACTGAGGACTTCCTTTCCCCTTTTCCATTAGTCATACACCAATAATAGCCTATGTCATCCTTTTCCAGTTGGTTCAGTATGATAGTGAATGTGCCATTTTCTGGATCATCATGCATCACAAGTCTTCCCTCATAGGAATCCATCACAAAGCCATTACTGTTTATTAATTCAGTACATCCACGTTGTTTCCACTTGCACCAGTATTTCAATGTATCATTCTCTTTTGGTTTATAATGACATTCAACAGTGACAGAACCACCTTGGACTCCATTTAACACTGACTGTTGTTCAGGTGCCAATCCATCTACGGATAGAAACATAGAGCATAAAATTATAAAAAAATGTTATTATAATTGTTTTCTTGATTAGTTATGTATTTGTAGAGACAGATTTGGAATCCAAAAGCTCTTTCACTTACCTTCATAGACATGTAGATCTAGCTTTTTGGATTCTCCATCTGCTCCATAATTCCCAACTCCACAAAGATATAAACCTGAATCTTCTTTTTTTAATTGGCTCATAATGACACTGAAAGATCCAGGTGTACCAAGATTGGTCAACAGAGTTCTTCCTAAGTAGGGTGGTTCCACATTTCCAAATGTATCAATCACAGTGTAACAATTGGTCTTTGTCATCTTGCACAGGTATTTTCTGTAACTTGCATACTGAATACCAAAGTCACAAGTCATGCTCACTGTTTTTTGATGCTCAGCATAATAAAGTTGTGCTTCCTCGGGTAGTACTTGGTCTGCATTAAGATAATGACAAGTCTTTAGATGCATTTATTCTCCCTTCCCTTATGCTGTCTTCTTGCAATATCACACAATGGTTTATATTAGCATTTTGACTAGTAGTAATTTATTTTATGTTAGCATTCTAGCTACAACTACAACAGATAAGTAGGATCAAAAGTAGCTTGATAAACCATAAGCTTGATCAAAACTCTGTTGATCCTGGTAAACTGTGCCTAGTTTGTCACCCTACAAATTGTGCTCATTCTCTTAGCATGAGAGAGCTGCTTGTGGATCTTGGTCACGAAAAGTGCTGTTCCAAAAGCAAAGTGTTTGTCTACTTTTCTCTCTGGCCAGCTGATCAACATGGACTGTTGTTTTCCTATTGCAATTAATGACACAAAACAAAACAATCTAGTTTCCTACATTGCTAGTGATGAAAGCACAATATGACTAATTGTTAGGGGTGGGGGAGAAAGATCAAGAATGCTTTTTTTATTAGTACAATGAGTATATGGATATGGTATGCTGTGCATGTAAATGAGTATATGAAGGAACAAATGTATGCATGCAATTCTTAACCCTGGTTTGGCACTCTGTTCTGATTTCAGATCCTATGTCCTATAATGTCATTATACTATCTTATACCACAATAATAAATAAATAAATAAAATACACTCTTGGAGTAAAAAACAAATTATTTTTGTCAATATATTTTAACATGGTCTTTCAGACTATATTAACATTTTGTGTTTTTTTCCCCTAATGCCCAATTGTGGTATGGAAACAAATCACTGAAAGACACTTCAAATTTCAATGTCTACTTTTTGGCATAACAAAATGCAGCAAACAACTGGAAACCTGAAGACATTTTTACTCCCTACCCACTAAAGTTTATACCGAGCTGTAATCCTTTCCCCATACACCAATTTTGTCAGGTAGCTCTTTCAGAGAATGTCTTCTTAGAATTAAACTATAAATGCATAGATTTTTATTAAAGGGGGAAACATAAGACAGATAAATTGTCTTCACAAAGTGTACTTATTTTAAGAAATTCTAAGCTGTGCATTTATTTTTAAAAAGTGTATGTATGTATGTATGTATGTATGCATGTACGTATGTATGTATGTGTATGTATGTATGTATTTATGTATGTATGCTTGATACCTGTGCTTTGCCACGAAACTATGTGGTCGAGCTTAGTTTTTGGGGACGAAAATAAGGGGAAACAATACTGCCTCTGCCTACCAGCATCCATCAGTATTCATCTGGCTAGCGTCCTGTCAGTGGAGAGTTGAGGGCTGTTTGGAAACTGAACAGTATTTGCTGTATGAGCAAGAAGGAGACAGCAAGGAGTTTGGCCATGGCTTAGCTCAACTGTTCTGTACTAAAGCTGATTGGTGCTGTGAAACCAAAACTCCTCTCCTCTGCTTGTGTTTTGCATTTGGAACAGATTTCTTTTCAAGTGGGGATGGGGATAGAACTCCTTAGCATCAGAGCGTGTTAATAATAACATAGGAAATACTAATGCTCTGATGGTCATTTAGAAAAATCCTTTCTTAGAAGCCAAGAGGAACATACGCGCCAAATTTCAAGTTTGTAAGCTTTACGGTTCTGGAGATTTTGTAATGATGTGTGAGTGGTATTTCGCTATATATATATTCAATCTCTAATACAATTCATGAAATATTAAATAACAATGCAATAAAAATATAACAGTGAATTACCAGATAAAAATACAATTATTTAAATGCTTTGGAAAATTATGTAGGGATGAGACCACAGAAAAGGTCCTTTCATTTATAATATCTCATATATTTCTCTTAGAGATGGGTGAAATAAACCTAATACATTTTTCTTAGGGAAGATCCACATTTAGCAATCTTAATGTATTAGACAATTAGAAAACAGTACCTTGAGTAACTTCCAGCTTGATTTTAAAAGACAATCCATAGTCATTTAAACCAATGCCACATCTGTATAGACCCACATCTTTCAATTTCAGGTCTGATATTTCTATGATGAACATGCCATTCTCTGGAAAGTCAGTTATGGAGGCTCTATCTTTGTAATCTTTGAGCACAAAACCATTAGATGAAATAAAGGTGTAACAGCGTCTTGTTGATTCCTTGCACCAGTACTTCCTGGAATGAATATTCACACTTGTGGGAGGATAGAAGCATTTGATACTCACAGAACCGTCCATCAATCCAGTTACCTGATTTGGCCCAAAGAGGACATTTGAGGCTGAAACTGAGAAAATAAAATAATATGGGAACATGTAAGTATATGTATACTTATATAATACTCAATATATCTGACAAATGTGTTTTTCCTGACAAAAAGAAAAATAACCCTTATTTTCATCACTGACATTCAAGTGGAACTTCAAGCAATTTCTCATTATTAGTTTAGTTTAGTTTGTTGTCATTGCACCTCATACAATGAAATCAAACACCATCTTCAGTGCACATCATGACCATGAAAATAAACACAAACAAACATCCTTCACACTCCACACATTGAACCGAAAACCCGCAACACTGCACCAACACTGCACTATACAGCAGAATTCAAAAGAGCTACTGCCCTGGGATAGAAGTTGTTTTTCAACCTATTTGTGCTTGTTTTTAAGATTCTGTACCATCTACCAGATGGTAATAAAAGGGTGCCCAGGATGAGATAGATCTTTGAGAATCTTTTGAACTGTCTTAAGGCAGCGGGAGCTATAAAGCTCTTCCAAAGAGGGGAGAGGGCAACCAATGATCTTCTGGGTAATGATGTTAACCCTCCGGACTCCGGAGTGCTTTCCTATCTGCCACTGCGCAATTGGCAAATCATACAGAGGTACTGTAAGTTAAGATACACTCTATGGTGCAGCAGTAGAAGGTCACCAGCAGTTTTTCATTCAGTTGTTGTTTTCTGAGAAGTCTCTGGTGGGCCCTTTTGACCAGTGCTGCAGTATGAGCACCCCAGGTCAGGTCCTCTTTTAAGAAACTTAAAACTGGCCACTTGCTCCACTCGGTCTCCATTGATAAGCAAGGGCTGGATGTCTGATCTGTTCGTTCTATAGTCCACTATAAGCTCCTTGGTCTTATTTGTGTTGAGGACCAAGTTATTGTCTCCACACCACACCACACAAACAACCAGTCCACCACTGTTGTATCATCTGCAAATTTAGCAATAGTATTACTAGCGTTAGTGGAAATGCAGTCATGCACGTAAAGAGTTATTTCAGTTTTCTGAATAAAGCAACTAAACCCAAATTTTCTAACTTTTTATTGTCAAGAAATTCAGCATAATAGGAATATTGGAGCCTTTCCCACCCCCCCTTCTGGAGTAGGAGCTGAACTGATTAATTTGAGGGATTCATTGTCTCAATTTCCTAGGGCAATTGAAGCTGTCAGCATTATGGGATCATGTCTGTCTGTCTGTCTGTCTGACTGACTGACTGACTGACTGACTGACTGATTATTGTTCATTTAATGACAGTTCAAAAGTTCAAAGGCATTAGAAAAAGTGACTTATGACCTATCCTTAGAATGCAGAACAGAGAATCATAGGGAAGGAAAGGACCTCAGAGGTTTTCTAGTCCAACCCACTGTTTGAAGTTAGGAGTGTCACACCACCTCTGCAGTCAGATGTTTGCTATTTGGGCAACTGGCTCACATTTACAACAGTTGCTGTGTCTTGTGATCACATGATTGTGACTTGAAAACTTGCCAGCCAACTTCCAACAAGCAAAGTCTAGGGAAGCCAGATTTGTTCAACCACCGCATACTTTTTTTTGGGTACATTTTACTCCTTTCTATTCTTTTTTCCTTTAAGTTTTGTTTGTATTAGATTTTACTATTATAGTATTTTTAATAAATATATATACATGGAAAGAATCAAAGCTGAACTATTTAAACTCAAATGTTTTAAATTCTTCTGTACTATGAGTAAAATATTTATTTGATTTAATTAGATTTGTTTTAATTCATTATGATATATGAAATATATATGTAGTAAGTCTGCCTTGATTGTTACTTGTGTATTTGCTCTGTCATAGGTGTCTGTGGGTTGAAAGCCAACAATGTGTGCTAAAGGGACAAACTACACCTACATTTTGTTTAATGTAGTTGATTTTTTTAATGCTTATTTAAATACTCACCGCTTTCAAATTCAGCCTGGATAAAAGTTAAGACCAAGACAAAGAACAGGAGAGCCATTTCAAAAGATAGTCCTGAAACCCAAGGTTCCTTGAAAAAAAAAATTTTTTTTTTAATAAATTAAATAGCCTTGTAAGTATAATGTATCTTAGATGTATGCATAGATTCAATCAAGTAAATAATTCAGAAGAACCATGAGTATATAACATCATGAGAATCTACATCACTAATATGAAGATTGTATGGACTGGAACTTTCTTCAAGGTACAAGTAATACCGGTGGACTTAAAGGGAAAGGGCATTTTATCTTCCATTACTACCGAGCTTTCAGCATCTACATGGTTGCATTTCAAGATTATCGGTATTTCCCAGATCACTAATTTTATATCTTAGGACTTCAGTCCTGCACTCTCTTACTTGAAAGAGAAGCCCTGTGAAAATAATGAGATATGTCTCAGAATATTCAAATACTGTGCTGCTATCAATCACTATCTACATAAACATATAGTCAAACCTGGTAGCTATGTGCAATAAAAGCACACACCCTTGCTTCCAAACTAATCTGTATTATGTGCTAATAACATTGTCGTAGGCATTAAAAAGGAAAGCAACTATACAACTTAACTTTGCATTAATCAAAGAGCATTTATGACTTTTGAACTTTGTCACCATGCAAACAAAAGACACCTTTAGTCAGCAGAAGCAAATAAATATCCAAGGTATATGTTTCTGGTTGAAATGGAAGTCAATTTAATTGATTGGCAGCCACCCAGAGTTTGATTTATGATGAGGGACTATAATAATTGTTTTAAATAAACAAATAAATTGCACAGTTCTTAGGAAAAAGTAAATTGATGGGTGAATATTTGTACCTAGAACAGTCAGATAAACCAGATAAATCACTACATGTAAGAAACCAGATAAACATTATGTGGAAGAAATGTATTATAACTACTACACACGGTCACAGTGATTGGTTTGCACAACTTGCCATGACTAAAATGCAGAATCTGGAGTTCCAAGTTGCACTAATCTTCAACCCACAAACACAACCCACTCCCAAATTGTGATATAGAAGGGGAAGATTATTATGAGAATGAATGAAACTAACTATAAATTCAACAGTAAATGTAATCACATGTATTCTCTTGTCCTGGCCAGGGATATCTGGGGAGTTAGAAAAGTTAAGAGGGCAGCTATGATGACATATGTGTATGTGCTACACATATAAAACATAGTTAGACCTTCAATCACGCAGCCAACAAATTGACTTTGTTTAAATAGCTGCATCCAACAAACAATGATAAAATATCAAAACTCGTATTGCATTTGTCAACGATGAATATCAGGGTTCACGTAACATAAGCATGTCATTACATGTTGTAGTAGCCCATTTTCATTATCATACTGTAGAAGGCATGTTCCAAGCATATAGCCCTAAATCATATTTTATGCCCTTGTCATAATTTGACTCATATACTTTTCCTAACTGGACAATACACTTTTATTTATTTTTCACAAATAACTCAAGGCAGCAAACATACCCAACATATCTTCCTCCTCATATTTGAAATTTAATTTAATTTGAAATTGTAGTTAATTATTTAATTTGAGATTGTTTCTTCAAAACTAGTATTATGCAAAATAAATAATTTTCAGTACTAAACATTCACAAAACAATTTAGCATTTAATACTATATTCATACTTTGCTGGCTAATCAGTTAATTGATTAAAAAAAGTAAATGACCTTTAATAGTTTTATTTCTTCAATAGCCACAAGAGGGCATAGTTGTCTTCACCTACAGTCTCCACATAACTTTTTTCTTCCTTCCTTCCTGGGCTAATCAATCACTTTATTGCAATACAGAGAAGAAAATATAAATGTAAATAAAGACTTCTTCCATTGTTTACGCTTTGAACTATTCTCATTTGATTGGCTAAGGGAGTATGTTATTAACTTTCTCAGCCTAACAACCTTCAAACTACAACTTTAACTTCAATGTAGGGGCGGTTTTTTTTCTGATTTTAGTGACATGTGTAACTTAGGTTCTTATAGTCTGAAAAGAGTGAATGAATGAAGAAATAAATAAAGAGAAAGAAAGAAAGAAAGAAAGAAAGAAAGAAAGAAAGAAAGAAAGAAAGAAAGAAAGAAAGAAAGAAAGAA